GGTGGGTCCTCGTCCGCCTTATTCACCAGATCCGGCACCGCCCAAGGTCTGGCTCTTCTCCAAAGTCAAAATGACCGTGAAAGGGAAATGTTTTGAATCTCTTCAGGACATCCAGGCACAACTGAAGGGACTGTTGAAGACACTCACGAGAGAGGACTTCAGAGCTGCTTCAGAAAGTGGTGAGGATGATAGGATCCGTGTCTTTGAAGTGAGAGGGGTTATTTTGAGGGGGATTAAAGCATTGATAATTTTTAATATTTAAATACACTTTTTGGTCACACCTCATAGAAATTAAAATATAATTTCAACTGACATGCAGAGGGATGCTTGTGGGGACCTTGTCAAGGACCCTGGGCTCAGCCTGTTCTGTGTGGTCTTCGCTTTGTGGTCAGGGTTCTCCTGTGTTAGTAACCTCACCAGGGACCCTCTGCGGAGCAGCTCCCGGTTGTTGCTGAGAACATCCAGGCAGCTGGGGAGGGACGGCTTTCCCTCTCTTTTGGTAGTAGGGATTGAATCCAGGGTCTTCATACTGAGCTAGGGCCCCAGCCTTTTTATTTTATTGTTTTATTTTTTTTAATTTCCCAGACTGGGCTGGAATTTAGGTCCCTCCTACCTTAGCCTCCCAGAATGCTGGGATGGGTGAAGCACCATACCCAGCCACATTGTCTTGCTCAGTCTGTAGTTAAACCACATCATTTCCTTTAAACTGAACTTTCCCCAGTCTGGTGATAGGAATGCTTTTAGCATTAGCTATCTTTTTTTTTGGTCCCTGAGATCGAACTCCTGACCTTGTGCTTGCAAGGCAGGCGGCAGAACCACTGAGCTAAATCCCCGGCCCTAGCTTTAGCTATCTTGTGGAATGAAGGGTGGATGCTTGGCCACCTCCACAGCCCCAAGTTGAAAGGGGAGGGACAAAACTCCAGGGTCCCCCCAGTGCTGGGATCCCTGCCCCACTCTTGCTGGCATGTCGCCCTGCCAGCCTGCCCAGCTATGAGCAGGCTCCCTCACCTGTAGAAGGGACATTCATTCCTCCAACTGCCCCAGAGGAAGGGACTGCATGGACATTTTCTCACTGCAGACGGGCAGTGAGGAGAGTCCCCTGGGATAGTTAGGACCCAGGATCCAAAGCGAGCTTGTTGGCAAATAAGGAAAGACCGGTCCTTGTCCTGAGCCAGCCCTCCCGCTTGTCTTCTGCCTTCTCCCAAGCAGAGTCCAAGCCAAGCTGTAGGACAAAAGGCAGGGGCTGATGGGCTCCCCTTTCCGACTTCCTGGCAACAGTTAGCAAGCCACCCCTGGGCTGTGAAGACTGGTCAGTCTGTGCCTTCGTGCCGTGTCCGTCTGCTTTATGAGGCCTTTTCCTCCTCAGACCGGGGGACCCCGTGCTGCAGCTTCAGCACAGCTGCCATGCTGGGCTGTCTCCTTGTCACGGACACCGTCAGTTAGCTGCCTCTGTCCGGCCTGAGCATCACAGGTCGCCAGACCTGCCGATTAAGATCTTGTAGCAGAGGCCCAGAGCCCGAGGGCAACTTGGGACGACCTGGAGGCTGGTGGCTCCTGAGCAGAACTGGTGGCAAGACTCTGGAAGGCAGGATGGCTCTGCATGGTGGCCCTGTGGCCCAGAGAGGGCTGCTGCCCGGCCCTGGTCCCACCAGTGAGCTGAGGCTGCTTGCTGTGGCCCAAGCCCAGATAAGAGGATCTTTCATAGGGATGGACAGACACCCAGTGATGACCTTGAACTTGGAACCTCCTGGAACCCCTTCTAGGCTCTCTGGCCATTTCACACAGGTAACCCTACTCTCAATACAGGCAAGCTTAGGTGTGTTTTGAGCTTTTTCAGATGTTGTTTCCAGCTCCTCCTATAAAAGGCTCCAAAGGTACAACCAGCACCTTTCCTCCTCGTGCCGCTGAGGTGGAGCAAGCCCTGTCTCCCTTTGCTTCCTCCCCTCCAGGCACACCTTTGGCATTTCTTTGTTATCAGGCTTGTTGGGTAGACTCGCTTCCAAAAGAGCCTCCTCCAGACAGCTGCGGATTCCTGGGGCTGCAGCCTGTACCCTGGCCTGCGGCTACACCCGTGAAAGGAGGCACCTCCCTGAGCTCCCCTCACCACCTCCCAGCCTCTCTAGGCCCCTCACTGCCGGCTAGCCAAGGCAGGTAAAGGAGGGGAGGTTGTCACTCAGCTTCAGTCCAGGAGCCTACCGGCGGAGCTTTTGAGCAAACAGAGGGTAATTTCCTGAGAGGGCAGAGCTGCGCTCATCAGGGAGCAGCTTATGTTCCCAGAGCAAAAAGAACTGATTGCCTCCATCTGCTTCGGCAGGCAGGACAGGCTGGCTGCAGTTGGAGAAGAAAGTGGGTACCTCAGAGCTCGAGCCTCGGCACTACCCTGCCGCCTGGCTGCCAGCCTGCCTGGGCCACTTCACTTCAGCCTGGTCAGCGCTCTGTCAGGCCATGTGCTGCCCACAGTAGCCTGGATGTGAGCAAGCTGTCACTGCCAGCTGCAGTTGGCACAGGGCTGCAGGGACCCTGGGGGTCATTTGATCTCAAACCTCTCAATCCAAGAGGAGCTGAAGCCAGGATGGGTGAAGGGAAGAACAGGAAGCCAGGTCTAGAAAGGGTGAGATGGGGCAGGACCAAGGCCTTGGGGGCACCCTGTCCCGCTGCTGGGTTGAAGCTAAGCCCACAGAACTCTAATGTGAGCCATAAATGCAAGCCTCACCTACAGTTTTAAATTTTCCGGTAAACACAGTTTATTTTTAAAATGTCTCCTCCTCCTCCCCCTCTTCTTATTGATTTGTGGTACTGGGGATTGAACTGGGGCCTTCACAGTGAGCCACAATCTCCAGCCCTTTTTAAAAATTTTTATTTTTGGCACAGGTTCTTGCTGCGGTCCCTGAGTTGCCCAGGCTGGGCTTGAACTTGCAATCCTCCTGGCTCAGCCTACCAGAGTGCTGGAATTTCAGGTGTATGCCACTATGCCCAGCTACTATAGCCACATTTTAAAAAGTAAAAAGCAACAGGTGAAATTGAACAATACATTTCATATATCTCAAAGTACCCCAAAAAATCAATATAAAAACGAATAAGAAATAAATAATAATGAGATATTTTACATCATCTTTGAAAGTAAACCTTTAAAATCCTGTATGAATTTAACACATAAAATGCATCCCAATTTGGTCCAGGCACCTTGAATGCCCAACAGCCATATACAACTGGGCTTGGGGTGCCCCTATGGGACACCGAGGGCCTTAGTTGAGGCAGGCAGTCCTGTCCTGGGCTTGTAAAGGGACGACATTCTTCATTGTCCCAAGGATGAAGGATGAAACACAGAGACAACATCCCTCTCTTTTGTCCCTACCCATTCTCCTGTGGCTTATTCTTGGGGCCAGGTGACCGCCATCTGAGCAGGAGCATCCCGCAGCGATGAGTCACCTCCGAGGAAGGTGTTCCACCCCACGCCCTGGGTCTCAGGGCTTGGGAGAGCCCGAGAGTGCTCTTTTATTTCCAGGAGGCCTCCTGCAGCCAGAGGGCGAAGCTCAGATGGTCCAGACTTCGGCTGGAGCCTGGAGCTCCCAGTCCCCACCAGGCCCGCCTCCATGGCCACCACCTCTGGGAGGCCCCATCTCAGTGGTGAAGAGGCGAGGAGGGGCTCTGAGCCTGTCACTTGAGCAAATGGCCCTTCCGAGAACAGTTGATGGCAGGCGTGTCCCTGGGCTTAGAAGGAAACTGGCCTCTCCTCCCCGGCGCCATCTCCCTAATCACACCTAGCCCGGAGCGGGAGCGGAGGACATCGCAGGCTACCTTGTTTCCCGTTGCTGCCTGCTTTGGCAAGGCCTCCTGTGGCCCTCCCTACCCCGTGGCCACTCTCAGCCCCTCTCCTCAGGAAAGGAGGACTCCTGTGCCCCCAAGTTCAGTGGCTCGTCCATGAGAGACTCACTGGGGTGTGTGACCAGGGTTAGGCTCAGACTCCCCCGTCCGCGGGACCTTTCTCTTCCAGGCTGGGTTCTGTCCTAGCTGGGGTGTCCGGTGTGACGGTCTCCCCTCCCCTCGCACCCCTTACCAGCCCTCTTCCACCAGAACCAGGGGGTTCTCAGAATGAGTCCGGGAGTGACTACACGTGTAGAGAGGACTTTTTTTTTTTTTTTGGTGGGGGGCATACTGGGGATCACAATTGGGTCCTTGCACTTGCAAGGCAGGCACGGTGCCACTGAGCTAAGTCCCCGGCCCTTACAGAGGACATTTGGAGCAGGGCTGCTGAGTTCCTGGAGATGGGATGGGATCCAGCCCCTTCCTGTAGACCCTGAGGCTCTGGTAGGAAGAGAATATTGCCTGGCTGTGGTGAGCATCTGTAATCCCGGCTACTCTGGAGACTGAGGCAGAAGGATGTTAAGTTTGAGCCCCGCCTGGACAATTTAGCAAATCAGTGAGACCTTGTCTCAAAAGTGAAAAATAAACAGGAGCCAGGAATGCCAAAAAAAAAAAAAGGAAAGAAAAGAAAGGGCTGGGATGTAGTTCAGTGCAAAGGCCCTGCATTCAATCTCCAGCACTGAAGAAAAGAAAGAAGGAAGGAAGGAAGGGGAACAAGATCATCTGTGCCGGTGACTGTCTCCCAGCAGCCCCATAGGAAGCGGAGAGCAGGCCCCTCCGTGGCCAGGACGGCGGCCACACCTCTCCTGGTGGCTGCAAGCCATGGGTGGGGACCCGCTTGATAGTGGGGACTATGTGCTGAGCAGGAAGGCTGGGCCTCTGCGCCGAGCCTGCGCCTGCTTGTCCTCCTGTCTGCCGTCCCTCCCAGCAATTTCCCCATCTGGGTGGGATCTCGGTGTGCTCCCTCTGGGCGTGTGGGTGTAGCACATCCAAGCCTCCTCTGTGGGAGTCGGCGCTGGGTGCCCCACCTCTGGGCTGTGCCCTTTCCTCCAAGACTGGTTATGCAGGAGCAGCAGGGCATGCGCAGCAGCCAGGCCCAGGCTAGGAGCCCTCACCTGCAGGGAGGGGCCTTGTAGAAACTGCCTTCCTGGGCAGCCCTGCCGCTCCACAGCCTGGCCAAGCAGACATCGAGGACGCACGCTGCCTCCTGCCCTCCTGCCCCGCCGGGGAGCCCAGCCTGAGCCGGCACCTGCCTTTACACCATGTTCAAGGGGCTGAGCAAAGGCTCTCAGGGGAAGGGGTCCCCCAAGGACTCCCCAGCCAAGGGATCCCCCAAGGGCTCCCCAGCCAAAGGATCCCCCTCGCGCCCCGCCGCACAGACGCGGGGGGGGGGGGGGGGGGGGGGGGTGGGGGGGGGGGGGGGGGGGGGGGGGACGGGGTGTTCCAGCTACCTGGAGGTGGCAGCTCAGACTGGCATTGGGTATGCCCAAGCCAAGGGGCTGGGGTGAATGCTTGCCCACCTCAGGAGCCACTGACTGGGCCAAGCTTCAGCCCAGGCCGGAAGGTGATGGCTCTCGGCTCCCTGCATACCCCAGACAGCCTGAGGGCCACTCAAGGAGGCCGCTCTGCAGGAGAGGGGCTGGGGAGGCCGGGAGACATCAGGGCCTGGCTCCTGTCCAGGGCTCTGCTCCCAAGGCCCCACTTGGCTGGGACCATCTTCAGGGGCTGGGCACGGGGGGGCAGGACGGAGAGGCGAGAGGTGAGAGGCAGGCTGGGGCTCTGCTGCCTCCTGCCCTGCAGTTTCCCTAGTTCTCCCCTGTCCTTGGGTGAACGGTTAAAGAACTGGGGGTTCCTTTTCCACCAGGGTGTGGGGAGGGGGTGCCGCACCTCCCTCTCTGCACACAGACCTGGCTGCCTTTTCCCACTCACCGCCTTTCTGCAGGAGGAGGTGCTGCAGGGTGTCAGGGTGTTGAGATAAGAGCAGAGATGAAAGGCCGGGATGGGGTGCCCATTACCCCGATAGGGATCTGCGCACCCAGACAGGCTGGGCTTCTGGGCAGACGGGAAAGACCGAGGTTGAGACTCTCACTGAGGTGACCTGTCTTCCTGAGTGGAGGTGCAGCTCTGTGAGCCAGTCCTGAAGACAGGGTTATAGGGAGGCTGCTGCACCTGCGTGCGGGCCTGTGGCAGCTCCATCCACAGCACCCAAGATAGGGCTCTTCCTTCCCTGTGTGTAATCTGCACACACTGGGCGCTTCGTGAGTAGCAGCCGTCCCAGGCTCTGGTGGTGGTGCTGTGAACAGATCCGCTAGGCTTGCCTTCAAGGCACTTACCCTCTGGAATAAAAACTGCCTTGTACTGAATGCCAAATCTGCACTTGAGGCTTCCAACGGATTCTGTGGAAGACACTGTTAAAACCCCACTTTGCTGGGCTTGGTGGTACAGGCTTGTATCCCTAGCACTCTGGAGGCTGAGGCAGGAGGATGGCCATGAGTTTGAGGCCAGCCTCAAACTATATAGTTCAAGGCCAGGCTGAACTACAAAGTGAGACCCTGTTCCAGAAAACCAAGATAAATAAATAAAGCCCCATTTTATAAGAAACCATAGCACAGAGAGATTGTCTAATTTGCCTGGGCTTACACAGCAGTAGTGATAGAGGAGGATCAGACCCAGAACGTCTGGACTGCAGAGTCCTTTCAGACTGCTGTGTTTTCACTGTGCTTCTCCTCTGCCTGGGATCCTGTCCTTTGACCCTGATTTATGGCTCCATGAGCGCTTTCCCTCCTCTAGGACTATGACCCCTACAGGACACCATGTTCCTGAGGCATGGACCGTTTTGCTTTTTTTTGGTTGCTTGGTCCTCTTGATCCTCTCAGAGAATGCAGCAAACAGCAGGAGCTCACTAGAGGAAAAGAGCCCTGGACCCAGGCAGCAGGTCCCAATCTGGGTTTCAGGTTCCTGAACCTGAACAGTGGGCTACCCAGACGCTGTCCCTCTCTCCCTCGCCCCCTCCCTCTCTCTTAGACAAGGTTTTGTATGTTGTGTTTTTTTTGTTTTTTTTGTTTTGTTTTTTTTTGTTTTGTTTTTTGAGACAGGGTCTCACTATGTAGTTGAGACTGACCTGGAACTCACTATGCAGTCCAGGCTGGTCGAGAACTCACAGCGAACCTCCTGCCTCAGCCCCCCCCCACACCACCACCCCAGTGCTGGGATTACAGGCATGTGCCACCACGCCCAGACTCAAGGTTTTGCTACGTAGCTCAGGCTGGCCTCAAACTCTGAGGCAATCCTCCTGCCTCAGCCTCCTGAGAGCTGGAATCATAGGCACATGCTACCACACCCGGCATCAAGCTGTCTCTCGATCCCTCCCAGCTCCAACACCATGTGGCTTGCCAGTGGCAAAGCCACTTGAGGGCGAAGACTGCACTGGGGTGAGGTGCGGGTGTTCTGCTGTTCCCCTGTCCCCAGACAGCTCTACTGTCCCTCCTGGGCCCAGTCAGTCATTAGCAGCTGAGCTGGTGATTCTCTTGCTCCTGGGCTGCCCACCTGCCAACCTCAGGAAGCGAACTGGCAGCTGTGTGGGGTGGGACTCACTGCCAGGCCAGCTGGCTGAGGTTGGGGAGCCCAGGATCCACCTGTGCCACCATGTTACACAGGCCAGGGCACTCACTCAACCCCAACCCTGAGGCGGGATATCTTCGAGTCCCCCAGGCTGAGGACTCCTCCCCCCAGGGCAGACAGCCTGGCTGTGGGCAGGAAGGCACCCACCTGGGGGGCACAGACGGTCTTTTCCCCATGTGACCTTTGTCCTCTATCCTGGGCCACCTGCCAGGGCTGCCGCACAGGAGCTGGCCCTGCTCATCTCCCGCATGCAAGCCAATGCCGACCAGGTGGAGCGGGACATCCTGGAGACCCAGAAGAGGCTGCAGCAGGTGAGGCCCAGGCAGCAGGGACTGGCTGGGTGGCGAAGGAGGCCCAGCATTGTGCCCGTGGCCCTAGAGTGCCATGGAGATTCTCCACTGCCCACTCCCACTTGGCCTTCCTCCTCTGCTCTGCTGCACTGCCCCCGCCTGGGGGGACAGCGAGGGGCCTAGGCTTCCCGTGTCCCTGCCACCTGCTTCGCAGATGCCTGGCCCTGTGTCTGGCGTGGGCTGGAGCTCAGGCTGGCAGTGAGGGCTTAGGGAGGAAGCGGGGCCCTGGCCCTGGTGAGCCTTGGCATCCCTTGTGCCCAGGACCGGCTGCACATTGAGCAGAGCCAGGCCCTGAAGCACCAGCAGCAGACGGGCCGCAACCTGAAGGAGGCTGAGGTGCTGCTCAAAGACCTCTTCCTGGATGTGGACAAGGCCCGGCGCCTCAAGCACCCGCAGGCCGAGGAGATCGAGAAGGAGTAAGTGGGCCAGGGTTCGGGAAGCAGCGCAGGGGGTCCTGGGGAGGCCCCTCCCTGACCCACAGGCTAATCCTTGGCAGCATCAAGCAGCTGCACGAGCGGGTGACCCAGGAGTGTGCTGAGTACCGAGCCTTATATGAGAAGATGGTGTTGCCACCCGACATGGGGCCCAGGGTCAACTGGGCATGTGTGCTGGAGCAGAAACAGGTCAGAGCCCCCTGATGTCCGAGACACCCTCAGCGAGCTCAGTCACACCTGGGACAATCAGTGAGCAAGCCAGATAGAACAGCGTTTATCTCTGGCCTGACTTTAAACCTGGGGGTGGCTCAGGGTCTGGGAAGGGAGCAGGGGAGCACAGTGCAATCGAGGACGGCTTCCTGCAGGAGGAGGCAGCTGCGAGATGGGAGGGTGTAGCTGGATCAGGGTGAGGTAATGAGGACGTTCCGGAAGGAAGGAGCCAAGGTTCCCTTGGGGAAGAGGCCCAGGGGTTGATGGGAAGTGGGTTTCTTGGGCAGTGGGCAGTTGGGTCCTGGGACACCTTGCTCTTCAGGTGCAAGTTTGGGCTGTGATGAGAGTGAAGGGTGGGCTGGAGGGGGGTGTGCGGAGCTGTCCAGACAGCAGGTGGGGGCTACAGCCCAGCAGGACAGAGCAAGGAGTCCTGGGAACCAGAGGGATTCAGGCACTGTGGTCCCGGGAGCCACTGGAAATGGCACTTCCCTGGGGGAGCCCAGTGGCCACCCAGGCTGCTCCCTGGCTTGCTCTGCTTCTCCTCACAGGGCTGCAGGGAGGGCAGGGAGGCACATTGGGTCTCTGGGCCCCGCATCCCTGGGCTGAGTGCCGGCTCCTTTGCAGAAGCACATCAGTGAGGGCCAGTACGGGCCGGGCATGGGGGAGCTGGAGCAGCAGGTCGCAGAGCACAACATCTTGCAGAGGGAGATCGAGGCCTATGGGCAGCAGCTGTGGAGCCTCGTGGGGCCGGTGCGTGAGCCCCGCCCCGCCCCAACCACCTCCCTCCCTTCAGAGCCTGGGCTGGCCCTCTGGGGAGGGGACACGGCTGGCCCGGATGGAGGGTGCCCACGTCCTGCACCCGTCTCTGACTGGTCCTGTTTCTCTCCTGGTCGAGGCAGGAGGCGAACAGCATCCGAGGCCAATACCGGGACCTACTGGTGAGCAGGAGGGGAGGGAGCTGGGTGCAGGCTGGGCAGGGCCCACCCCTGTGCCCCATCTGACTGGGCTTCTCCCACCGGCTTCTCTCCCTGCCCTGTGGCCGCTGGTCCGGAGCACAGAAGGCGGCCTCGTGGCGCAGGCAGAGCCTGGGCAGCCTGTACACGCACCT